ATAGTGAGACATAGAACCCTCCTGCTGCTCCTGTTGCTGCTGCTGCTCTTCCTCCCGAAGCTGAAAACGCACGCTGCCGGACAGGGAAACACAGTGGCCCTGAAGGACGGAACAGCGCCAAAATCGAACCCCAAAACTGCCTAACGTCCCTTCTGAAACGCTACGTAGAAAAACAATAGTTTTCGACCATTTTTTGTACCGCTGTTTGTACAATGACACATAGTGAGACATAGAACCCTCCTGCTGCTTCTGTTGCTGCTGCTGCTCTTCCTCCCGAAGCTGAGAACGCACGCTGCCGGACAGGGAAACACAGTGGCCCTGAAGGACGGAACGGCGCCAAAATCGAGCCCAAAAACTGCCTAACGTCCCTTCTGAAACCCTAGAAAAACAATAGTTTTCGACCAGTTTTTGTACCGCTGTTTCACAATGAGACATAGTGAGACATAGAACCCTCCTGCTGCTCCTGTTGCTGCTGCTGCTCTTCCTCCCGAAGCTGAGAACGGACGCTGCCGGACAGGGAAACACATTGGCCCTGAAGGACGGAACAGCGCCAAAATCGAGCCCAAAAACTGCCTAACGTCCCTTCTGAAACCCTAGAAAAACAATAACACAATAGTTTTCGACCATTTTTTGTACCGCTGTTTGTACAATGAGACATAGTGAGACATAGAACCCTCCTGCTGCTCCTGTTGCTGCTGCTGCTCTTCCTCCCGAAGCTGAAAACGCACGCTGCCGGACAGGGAAACACAGTGGCCCTGAAGGACGGAACAGCGCCAAAATCGAGCCCAAAAACTGCCTAACGTCCCTTCTGAGACCCTAGAAAAACAATAGTTTTCGACCAGTTTTTGTACCGCTGTTTGCACAATGAGACATAGTGAGACATAGAACCCTCCTGCTGCTCCTGTTGCTGCTGCTGCTCTTCCTCCCGAAACTGAGAACGGACGCTGCTGGACAGGGAAACACAGTGGCCCTGAAGGACGGAACGGCGCCAAAATCGAGCCCAAAAACTGCCTAAAAACAATAGTTTTCGACCATCTTTTGTACCGCTGTTTGTACAATGAGACATAGTGAGACAGAGAACCCTCCTGCTGCTCCTGTTGCTGCTGCTGCTCTTCCTCCCGAAGCTGAAAACGTATGCTGCCGGACAGGGAAACACAGTGGCCCTGAAAGACGGAACGGCGCCAAAATCGAGCCCCAAAACTGCCTAATGTCCCTTCTGAAACCCTAGAAAAACAATAGTTTTCGACTATTTTTTGTACCGCTGTTTGTACAATGAGACATAGTGAGACATAGAACCCTCGTGCTGCTCCTGTTGCTGCTGCTGCTCTTCCTCCCGAAGCTGAAAACGCACGCTGCCGGACAGGGAAACACAGTGGCCCTGAAGGACGGAACGGCGCCAAAATCGAGCCCCAAAACTGCCTAACGTCCCTTCTGAAACCCTAGAAAAACAATAGTTTTCGACTTTCGACTATTTTTTGTACCGCTGTTTGTACAATGAGACATAGTGAGACATAGAACCCTCCTGCTGCTCCTGTTGCTGCTGCTGCTCTTCCTCCCGAAGCTGAAAACGCACACTGCCGGACAGGGAAACACAGTGGCCCTGAAGGACGGAACAGCGCCAAAATCGAACCCCAAAACTGCCTAACGTCCCTTGTGAAACCCTAGAAAAACAATAGTTTTCGACCATTTTTTGTACCGCTGTTTGTACAATGAGACATAGTGAGACATAGAACCCTCCTGCTGCTCCTGTTGCTGCTGCTGCTCTTCCTCCCGAAGCTGAAAACGCACGCTGCCGGACAGGGAAACACAGTGGCCCTGAAGGACGGAACGGCGCCAAAATCGAGCCCCAAAACTGCCTAACGTCCCTTCTGAAACCCATAGAAAATGATGCTTTTGGCTCCTTTTTCCTCTTGCTGCTGCCATGAATTTTAGCTACCTTTACATCCGGTCCCCAAATAGGAAAAGACAATGAAAAAAATCACCTCCCGGGGGCGAAACACCATGCCTCTGAAGGACGGAGAAGCTCCAAAATTGCACCCCGAAAATGCCTAACGTGACTTCTGAAACCCATAAAAAATGATGCTTTTGGCTCCTTTTTCCTCTTGCTGCTGCCATGAATTTTAGCTACCTTTACATCCGGTCCCCAAATAGGAAAACACCATGGAAAAAATCACCTCCCGGGGGCGAAACACCATGCCTCTGAAGGACGGAGAAGCCCCAAAATTGCACCCCGAAAATGCCTAACGTGGCTTCTGAAACCCATAGACAATGATGCTTTTGGCTCCTTTTTCCTCTTGCTGCTGCCATGAACAGTAGCTACCTAAACATCCGGTCCCCAAATAGGAAAACACCATGGAAAAAATCACCTCCCGGGGGCGAAACACCATGCCTCTGAAGGTTTTTGTACCGCTGTTTGCACAATGAGACATAGTGAGACATAGAACCCTCCTGCTGCTCCTGTTGCTGCTGCTGCTCTTCCTCCCGAAGCTGAGAACGCACGCTGCCGGACAGGGAAACACAGTGGCCCTGAAGGACGGAACGGTGCCAAAATCGAGCCCCAAAACTGCCTAACGTCCCTTCTGAAACCCTAGAAAAACAATGGTTTTCGACCATTTTTTGTACCGCTGTTTGTACAATGAGATATAGTGAGACATAGAACCCTCCTGCTGCTCCTGTTGCTGCTGCTGCTCTTCCTCCCGAAACTGAGAACGGACGCTGCCGGACAGGGAAACACAGTGGCCCTGAAGGACGGAACGGCGCCAAAATCGAACCCAAAAACTGCCTAACGTCCCTTCTGAAACCCTAGAAAAACAATAGTTTTCGACCATTTTTTGTACCGCTGTTTGTACAATGAGACATAGTGAGACATAGAACCCTCCTGCTGTTGCTGTTGCTGCTGCTGCTCTTCCTCCCGAAACTGAGAACGGACGCTGCTGGACAGGGAAACACAGTGGCTCTGAAGGACGGAACGGCGCCAAAATCGAGCCCCAAAACTGCCTAACGTCCCTTCTGAAACCCTAGAAAAACAATAGTTTTCGACCATCTTTTGTACCGCTGTTTGTACAATGAGACATAGTGAGACAGAGAACCCTCCTGCTGCTCCTGTTGCTGCTGCTGCTCTTCCTCCCGAAGCTGAAAACGCACGCTGCCGGACAGGGACGGAACAGCGCCAAAATCGAGCCCAAAAACTGCCTAACGTCCCTTCTGAAACCCTAGAAAAACAATAGTTTTCGACCATCTTTTGTACCGCTGTTTGTACAATGAGACATAGTGAGACATAGAACCCTCCTGCTGCTCCTGTTGCTGCTGCTGCTCTTCCTCCCGAAGCTGAAAACGCACGCTGCCGGACAGGGAAACACAGTGGCCCTGAAGGACGGAACAGCGCCAAAATCGAGCCCAAAAAATGCCTAACGTCCCTTCTGAAACCCTAGAAAAACAATAGTTTTCGACCAGTTTTTGTACCGCTGTTTGTATATTAATGAGACATAGTGAGACATAGAACCCTCCTGCTGCTCCTGTTGCTGCTGCTGCTCTTCCTCCCGAAACTGAGAACGGACGCTGCCGGACAGGGAAACACAGTGGCCCTGAAGGACGGAACGGCGCCAAAATCGAACCCAAAAACTGCCTAACGTCCCTTCTGAAACCCTAGAAAAACAATAGTTTTCGACCATTTTTTGTACCGCTGTTTGTGCAATGAGACATAGTGAGACATAGAACCCTCCTGCTGCTCCTGTTGCTGCTGCTGCTCTTCCTCCCGAAGCTGAAAACGCACGCTGCTGGACAGGGAAACACAGTGGCCCTGAAGGACGGAACGGCGCCAAAATCGAGCCCCAAAACTGCCTAAAAACAATAGTTTTCGACCATCTTTTGTACCGCTGTTTGTACAATGAGACATAGTGAGACAGAGAACCCTCCTGCTGCTCCTGTTGCTGCTGCTGCTCTTCCTCCCGAAGCTGAAAACGTACGCTGCCGGACAGGGAAACACAGTGGCCCTGAAAGACGGAACGGCGCCAAAATCGAACCCAAAAACTGCCTAACGTCCCTTCTGAAACCCTAGAAAAACAATAGTTTTCGACCAGTTTTTGTCCCGCTGTTTGCACAATGAGACATAGTGAGACATAGAACCCTCCTGCTGCTCCTGTTGCTGCTGCTGCTCTTCCTCCCGAAGCTGAAAACGCACGCTGCCGGACAGGGAAACACAGTGGCCCTGAAGGACGGAATGGCGCCAAAATCGAGCCCAAAAACTGCCTAACGTCCCTTCTGAAACCCTAGAAAAACAATAGTTTTCGACCATTTTTTGTACCGCTGTTTGTACAATGAGACATAGTGAGACATAGAACCCTCCTGCTGCTCCTGTTGCTGCTGCTGCTCTTCCTGCCGAAGCTGAAAACGCACCCTGCCGGACAGGGAAACACAGTGGCCCTGAAGGACGGAACAGCGCCAAAATCGAGCCCAAAAACTGCCTAACGTCCCTTCTGAAACCCTAGTACTAGTAGTAGTAGTAGTAGTAGCAGCAGCAGCAGCAGTAGTAGTATAGTAGTAGTAGTAGTAGTAGTAGTAGTAGTAGTAGTAGTAGTAGCAGTAGTAGTAGTAGTAGTAGTCGTAGTAGTCGTAGTAGTCGTCGTAGTAGTAGTAGTAGTAGTCGTAGTCGTAGTAGTCGTAGTCTTCGTAGTAGTCGTAGTAGTCGTAGTAGTAGCAGTAGTAGCAGTAGTAGCAGTAGTAGCAGTAGTAGCAGTAGTAGCAGTAGTAGTAGTAGTAGCAGTAGTAGTAGCAGTAGTAGTAGCAGTAGTAGTAGTAGTAGCAGTAGTAGTAGTAACAGTAGCTGGCAGTGGCAAACTCTTGTCTCTTATTCCCTGGCGCGCTCCCCCTTGCGCAGCCGGGGTCGGCGGATTATATTTCCCTAGCCGCCACTTGAGTTGGAGATTCAACGTTGTCTATTATTATATTGATTGGTTCACCAATACAGCTGACAGGTGGGATATTTGCCAGACGGCACTCCCATGAACACCGCTGGCAACTGCATCAACCACCCAGAGACCATTGGACCGGACCCTCATTCTCCAGGCTCACTGTAGCTTCGGAATGCAGAGGAATGGCACAAGCGTGTGTGGCAGTTTGTGGCACCAGTTCGACTAGGACCAGAACCTACTAGAATTAGAACGAGTAGAATCCTTGGTTCAAAGCTGTAAACTTTGTTCATAGTGTCAATTGTTCTAGTGGTCACTGAAGGTAAGTTCTGTCTCCAACCTCTCTTGTATCTCCAGTCCCTAGGCATCAGATTCAGTATTGGCATTTTGCTTGAGGCTCTCCGTTGCCTCGTGCCATCTTCGTGAACGACGTCGGCTACTTGCCGGATGGCACACCAATGAACAGGGCCGGCAATGCCATCAACCACCCTGACTCTTGGTCTGCACCAGCTTTTTATTTTTTTTCGGTCGATAAGTGCAATCTATTGGAGAGATTGTAAGACTTGATCTAAGAACCATCCAGTGTAGGTGCAGAATCATTCCCAAGATGGTTGGGACACAGGAACATCCCCGGATATTTGTGCCGCTTTCAACCAGGAGACAATTGGACCGGACCCTCATACTCCTGGCTCTGAATTGCCACCATCGGTCTATGCTGCTGACATTGGATACTTGGTGGACGGCACGCCCCTTGATGCTGCTGGCAACAACGCAGTGCACTGAGTTGATAAGTAGACTCTAAGTAGATCTTGCAAAATTAGACAACTTGGATTTTAAGAATCAGCTGGAAGGCACTGGAAGGGTTGAAGAAGCAACCTCTCTTTTGCACTGGCGGCCAGCCCAGTGGAGGCATAGCAATGCTAGCGTCTCCCAATTTTAGGTTCTGAAAAGCAAAGCCGATGCTGGCTGCAATCAGTGGCTCCATCCCAACATCCATGGCTAGACTGGCAAGACATGGACATTCGCATGTCAACTTTCATCCATTATGGTGGTTGGAGTCACCACGAGTCATTTCTCCCTGGAGATATCCCCAATCAGCGCTGTTTGGCGGAAGAAGCTTGCGCACGGCTGTGAGATACTTGATTGGTGGAGATAGCATGAGATAGCATTTCCACGGAACGAAACAAGAAATGGGCTCAAATGAGAATATGGATCAAAGTTGCGCTCAAAAATGGGCATATCAGTCTGTCATTCGAGGCAGATGCGTCTTTTTGACTTGTTCTCTGTAATTTTTGAGGCTCAAAGGGAGTGACTCAATTTTTCTCAAGTCTTATCGTGCCATCCCCGAAAGACATGGTACAGCTGCTTGGATGTAAGTTGGCTTGGACAGCTTGCCGACAGCTTGCCAGTTGGGTCCTCCTGAAATGCGTGATTTTTCTCGAACCATAGCTGGAAGCTGAAACTTCTCACACTTGCTGTAGCCAACTAATTCAAATGCTTCTGCTTTGTTTGAATTCAAAAGAAGAATCTTAGAATTCACGCGGCCCAGGTCGAAGATGTCGTGTGCTGTGGCCGTGGCCGCCTTTGGCCTTGTCCTCCTCAACGGCGTCAATTTCGTGGCTCCCAACGTGCCGAAGTCGCTAATGCCCCAGTGCCTTGCTTCTATGGAGATGTGGAGAAATGGAGAAATTTGACATTTGAAGAGAATAAACTGAAGACAGTCTTCTGGTGCTATTGTGGTACATGATACATATAAATCATATAAAATATAGATATTACGGACACAGATCTTTGTCAGTTTTGAACAGAGATAAATTTGCAATGTCAATTCAGAGAAATCGAGAGAAGAAGAATAAGGGTGGCAACACCCCAGAAAAGTTTTCAGACTCCAAACGTTGTAAACCTTGCCGGAATGCGCGTCAGGGTTGTATCTAGGGAGAGAGGTATCACGTAAATTGCACTACTTGGATGGGAAAGTTACGTCATTCCATTTTGAGTTCGCTGTCAATCTTAAGCATTCTATGAGCATCCTGGCCCTTGACCTGGTCCATGCGATGCCTTCCACTGCAACACCTGCAGCCCTCTAGGGTGTCAAAAGGCAAAATTCCAAGGAACTTTGCACATACTTCAAGCTGGACGTACACCGACACCGGAAACATGCATTGCATGGGATTACATAGTTGAAAACATGGTACATTGCAAGGAACCCAGGCTATCCTGGAACTTCCCTTTGGGTTTTTCTTGATGACCCCTCACAAGAATAGTGCAACTGCGCACGGTTCAGGACGTTTTCCCAGGGTTTTTCTTGATGACCCCTCACAAAAATAGTGCAACTGCGCACGGTTCAGGACGTTTTCCCAGTCCGAGACTGCTCCAATGCCATCTGCAGAGACGAGCGTCCCAGCTTATGGCACGGCCGGCATGGCGCTGATGGCTACAGCAGCTGTTGGCCTTTTGGCAGCCGGCGCCCAACGCATGAAGGTGGCAAGGAAGGCTACTCATGGAATCAAGTTCAGCTACTCCATTCAGAAGGACGCCTATGCCGACCTGGAGTTCATGAACGATGTGGGTTGCTTGGTAAAACTTAAATGATTTAAATGGTCATGATGAGTCATGATGCATTCAGCCCACACCCAACATTAAGAACTCATGAAACTTGGCAACAACTGCACCAAAGCACTGAGGCTATTTGCCAGATGGCACACCAATGAACAGGGCTGGCAACGCCATCAACCACCCGGAGACCATTGGACCAGATCCTCACACTCCCGGATCTCCTTTGCCCCGGGCTGAATTCGTCAACTCCATTGGCTACCTCCCAGATGGCACACCGATGAACGCAGCAGGAAACGCCTTGAACCATCCTGAGACCATGCAGCCTGATATGCACAACCCTGGCTCCCCCTTGCCAGCCTCGTTCTATGCCGCAGAGGTTGGATACCTGGTGGATGGTACTCCCATGGCAACAGCCGGCAACCTCTCCGTGCAGGCTCCCCCTGTGGCCTCCACCCCTGCCTCTATGCCTGCAGCCCCTCCAACTCCACCACCCTCTGCACCAACATCCGTGGCAGCCGGCTTCACAAGCACAGCCACAGAGGCTGTGCATGGCATCAAGTTCAGCTACTCCATGCAGAAGGATGCCTATGCGGATTACGAGTTCATCAACGATGTGGGTTGCTTGGCATTAGGTCAACCACAGTCACGAGCAGTTCAGATCAAGTTGTCAGTTGAGATTGGAAACTTTCCGCGGAAGAGAAGAACAAATCACCAAAGAATTGAAAACATGGAACAAATAGTAAAGGAAGGGTACACAGAAATTGAAGTTCAAGACAGGCCACACGATCAGGTTCTCTTTCTTGTTGTGGGGGGTTCAGAAGAAAGGTACGTATATTTTCCCTACATGTGTGTCCTGGCTGGACTCTTGCCACCTTGAGAGATGGAGGCGTTTGCTTATGAAGTATTCTTGAGGACTGTTGCCTGAGAAGAAGTGCACGAGTGAAATGTGGTTTTAGATTCAAGTCTGACACGTGAGCAGTTTTTGTAGCAAGTTAAGCTTAGGCTACCTGCCAGATGGCACGCCAATGAACAGGGCTGGCAATGCCATCAACCACCCGGAGACCATTGGACCAGATCCTCACACTCCCGGATCTCCTTTGCCCCGGGCAATCTTCGTCAACTCTGTTGGCTACCTCCCAGATGGCACTCCACTGAACGCAGCAGGAAATGCCTTGAACCATCCTGAGACCATGCAGCCTGACTCACATGCTCCTGGCTCCCCCTTGCCAAGATCGTATTATGCTGCGGAAGTGGGCTTCTGGATTGCAAGAGGAACAGCTTAGCATGATGAGCACGATGAGCACGATGAGCACGATGAGCACGATGAGCACGATGATGATGATGATGATGATGAAGATCACGAGCACATGATCATGGGAAGAGCTTGTGATTAGGAAGCATGAAATCAAGATGAAACTTCTTGGGCTTCAAACTTCAAACAACTTGAGAAGGAAGTGCAGAACTGTCTAAACCAGTTGAGTCCCGAGACATCGTCAGACTCATCCAGTTGCCGAGGCTACCTGGTGGATGGCACCGATTTGGTCACTGCAGGAAACCTCTCCGTTCAGGCTCTGGTTTGTGATGTGTCCAGCTGTAGCTCTTACGTTCTAAGGAGTCTTAGCTATGACTGAAAGATCCTGCACATTTATCAAAGTAGTAGGAAAAGCCAATATAGGACCCAACCATAAAGTAGTCTCTCTAATACTGTCATTCTGACTGTTCACGGAGGCACACCTGACATGTGCAACGATAGTTCTCAGGGTGTCCCAGCCGCTGCACCTGCCGCTGCACCGGCGGCAGTGCAACAGCCAGTGGCAGCTGCTTTTGTGGGAGCCTCTGCAACTCGTTTGCATAGAAATGCACAGAACTTCATTTTGATTCTTTTGGGTTTTGACTTGTTTAGAAGGGAATGTTGGGATTGTTCTTGGTCAATGTGCTGTGGGATGTATCTGTAGGATGCGGGCTGTAGCTGGCAGCTTGCATTCGCGGGATGCGGTGTAGCTGTCCCAACCAACTGAGGCTGGGATGGGACGTGCCGGAGCAGACAAGCGAGTGCCTGCAGGTTTTGCCTATGCCGTGCAGAAGGAGCCAGCCGTGACTAGCAAAAACCTTGGTGAAATGGGGCGGAACACTTTCAAGTCATTGACAACCCCTCCAACGGGTCTCAAGTAAATACTGAAATATAGAAAACCTGTTTCTGGCAACACATCAATTTGGCTAAATCTTGCTGGATTGTGCCTCTTTGGAGACTGACAAATGGTTCCAGCCGCACGTCCATGCTGCCAGGATGCCTATGCTGACTTGACCTATGGAAATGATGCACCTTGTTTGCCTAGATTGCCTAGATGGGCTGTGATTTTGTATGTCAATGTGATCGCATTTGCAACAGAGTCATATTCTTGTTCGCATTGCACAGGGTTTTGCTTAGCACGATCTGCTTATAAGATCCCTAGCCGCCACTTGAGTTGGAGATTCAACGTTGTCTATTATTATATTGATTGGTTCACCAATACAGCTGACAGGTGGGATATTTGCCAGACGGCACTCCCATGAACACCGCTGGCAACTGCATCAACCACCCAGAGACCATTGGACCGGACCCTCATTCTCCAGGCTCACTGTAGCTTCGGAATGCAGAGGAATGGCACAAGTGTGTGTGGCAGTTTGTGGCACCAGTTCGACTAGGACCAGAACCTACTAGAATTAGAACGAGTAGAATCCTTGGTTCAAAGCTGTAAACTTTGTTCATAGTGTCAATTGTTCTAGTGGTCACTGAGGGTAAGTTCTGTCTCCAACCTCTCTTGTATCTCCAGTCCCTAGGCATCAGATTCAGTATTGGCATTTTGCTTGAGGCTCTCCGTTGCCTCGTGCCATCTTCGTGAACGACGTCGGCTACTTGCCGGATGGCACACCAATGAACAGGGCCGGCAATGCCATCAACCACCCTGACTCTTGGTTTGCACCAGCTTTTTATTTTTTTTCGGTCGATAAGTGCAATCTATTGGAGAGATTGTAAGACTTGATCTAAGAACCATCCAGTGTAGGCGAAGATTTTTTTTGAAGATGGTTGGGACAAAGGAACATCCCCGGATATTTGTGCCGCTTTCAACTAGGAGACAATTGGACCGGACCCTCATACTCCTGGCTCTGAATTGCCACCATCGGTCTATGCTGCTGACATTGGATACTTGGTGGACGGCACGCCCCTTGATGCTGCTGGCAACAACGCAGTGCACTGAGTAGATAGAGATCTCGAAACCCAAGAATGAGAACTTGGATTTTAAGACATCACTTGGAAAGGTTGAAGATGTTGAAGAAACAACCTCTCTTTTGCATTGGCGTTTAGCCAGAATTTCACCCAGTCACCAGACTGATTAGATCCACCAGTAGCCATTTCTCCTTGCAGACATCACTCAGACATCTTCGGAGCTCTCTGGCCTAACAAGATCGCGTGAAGCTGATGCCTTGTGGATTGAGAAAGAGTTCTACCATGTTCTACCAAAGATGAAAACAGCGTTCCCAAGTTCAAATTCCAACTTGGGAACCACGTGCATTCACGACACTACATTGTCAGTGGCTCAAACAGAGAGCCAGTTTGAAGATGTTTGAAGTATCGCTTTCACGGTGTGACTCCTTGGGCTCAAAGGGAGTGATTCGATTTTTCTGAGTCTCGTTGTGCCACCACTCAACCCATGTCGCAGACGCTTGGATCTCCAAAAAGAGTTGTACAGTGTAAAAAAATCTGTGTAATTTTGCAAATAAAAAACGTGATTTCCGATTGGGTTTGCTCCAGTAAATGACGGGGTCTGCGGGCCAAGTTCGGGAACTACAGATGTGGCGAAAGACGACAGACCCTTGCATTGTTCGTTTGAATATTTTGTTACCAAGATCAATCAGACTGGTGCTTATTTAGTTCGCATCCGGATTTCCGTTCCGATGTGAGACTTTTTTGGTGCAATTTCGGTTGGGCCTCAATTGTAATGGGTTATATAAAGCAAGAATGACTGTTGTGGAATTCTACTTTTGAAATGATCCTTACCAGCTATACTTTTTACATCTGCTGCTGCTACGCCCATTGTATGCCATTTCTTATTGGTGCATACCCATCTTGCAAGTTGAATTGCAATTTGCGAATACATATTATTATGGATTACTACCCGCTGTTATCCATGATTTTTCCATCTCCATGACTCCATTCCACTACAAAACGGCTTAGCGATGCTTAGCGGATGAATTCCATGAAATTCCATGGGTATTTCATGGGTGTGCCAATAATGCCAATATATATATATATATTATATATATATATATCTATATATATATAAATATGTGCCGTGGCTCCTTCCCAGGTCCAAGATGTCTGCAGCCGCTGTGGCCGGCCTGGTGGTCCTCCATGCAGGTCTCAGCTTCGTGGTGCCTCGTGGTCCTGCAACCGCACCTAGGACGGGTCGTCCCAGGTTAGGCTTGGGCACCATTTGTTCACCATGAAGTGCCGTGAAGCAACGTTGAAAAAGTGATTTAATGTTGTAGGAACAGACAGATATAGACCTAGAGCTATGTTTTTCTGATCTTTTCTGCATATACATGGTCATGAACGTGTTTTGCCTTTTTCTGGAACTTCAGAATTGATGGCAGTTCTGCCATTCCAATACGTTCATGTGATAATTGCGAGAAAGGTCCAACGCGAAACAGTTTGAGTTTGATCTTGCAGGAATGTCAGAAAGAATGATGGATTTATCATTTATATATCAATCTGGGGAAGGATTGTAAAAACAAAGGATACATGTTCGAGCACCGTAGGAAGAATCGTTTGACATCGTGTGACCCAGTTCAATCTCAGAATGGTTCCATTGGATTCCATTGGCACAACCTGCCAGGATGTCCCCGGGCGTTGTGCCTGAGATGGACCTTGCTGGCGGCTACAGCGGCTACAGCATGGGTGCCGCTGTCGCAGTGTTAGCTGCGGGTGCATTGGTTGCAGGAGCTCGTTCATTGGTGGCCAGGAAACTTGTCGTAATATGCAGGATATCCCAAGACCAAAATTTGGAGTGATACGGTTTTTGTTACGTTTGTTACTTTTTCTACTTCTGCTACTCTTGTTCCTTGAGCCTGACGCTTCAAGAGACCAAGGAAAGCCTTGCATGGCATCAAGTTCAGTTACTCGCTTCAAAAGGACGCCTATGCCGACCTGGAGTTCTTGAACGATGTGGGTGGCTTGGAACTTGTCATTCTTGGGTCGTCTGTCTGAAGATTATGGAACTCCGTTTCGCCATCATTGGGCAAAGCCGCAGCAGAAAAAAGGGTCTACTCATCCGAAGCGAAATGGAGAACTTGTGAAGGTTCAAATGAATTCTGCCTCAAGATATGCAATTTTGAACAAAATGCTGTTTCTCACAAACTGTACAAACAATTTTGCGGTCTTTCTCTCATACTCTCTCCCTCTCTCCTTTCTCTCGTTCTCTCTCTTGTCGGTATTTGCCCTGTGCCTGTAGCAGGCTACTTGCCAGATGGCACACCAATGAACAGGGCCGGCAACGCTGTCAACCACCCGGAGACCATTGGACCAGATCCTCACACTCCTGGCTCTCCTTTGCCAAGGGCTGAATTCGTCAA